CCCCCACTTCCCCGGCAGCTAGAGGTAAAGGAATAGTTTGATCACCACCTTTGTCCTGAGCAGATTTGAATGGCAAGCCTTTGCTATAAGGCATGTGATCCAATTTTACCCTTTTTTTTTTTCCTTTCTTTTGACTCTTCCATTGGCCATCTCCAGCCCATCATTATGCTTTTTTTAATTTATTTACCTGTGTTTGGAGCGTGCATACCCTGGTATCCTATATGGTCTTCCAGGACCATCGCTGACACTGCTAATAATTTCACAGGTGATACTATAAGGACTGTCAGTGCCCCCTGTCATGGTTTAGCCCCAGCCAGTGACTAAGTACCATACAGCCGCTCCCTCCCTTCTCTTTCCTCCTTCCCCCAGTGGGATGGGGGAGAGAGACAAAGGAAAGGGAAAAGAGAACTTGTGGGTTGAGATAAGACCAGTTTAATAATTGAAAGTAAATGAACTAAAATAATGATGCTACTAATACTAAGAATGTAGTGAAAATACTACTACTAATGATGATAAATAATTTGTATTTTAAAAAAAGGAAGAAGGGAAGGAGAACAAAATGATAGAGCTGCTCACCACCAGCAGACCAACGCCCAGCCAGTCCCCAAGCAGTGATTCCCCTCCCGGCCAACTCCCCTAACTTCTGTACCAAGCATGGTGCTTGATGGCATGAAATGCCCCTTTGGCCAGCTGGGGTCAGCTCTCCGGGCTGTGTCCTCTCCCAGCTTCTTGGGCTGTTCCCAGCTTGTAGAGAAGAAGCTGGGAATGCAGGTGCAGTATCAGAAACCTAAACAGTCCTTGACTTGATATAAATATCCCTTAGCTACAACTGAAAACAACAGTGTTATCAGTGTTCTTCTCAGCACAAATCCAAAGCACAGCCTCATGCTAGCTACTGTGAGGAAAACAAACTCCATCCCAACCAAAACCAGCACACCCACCAGTATTCCTTGTCCCTTCTCCACACCTACGCAGTTTTGCCTCACCACCCGAAGGTTGCAGTGGCCTGTTTGGCCCTGTCCCAGCACTGGAAGGTTACAGGGGTTATCACCTGTAGCCATTCCACTCTCTCCTTCCCCGCTCTCAGCACCGTGTAGTTCTCCCCTGCTGCCCCTTTGCCGGTGCCGGATTTCCCCAGTGAGTGAGCACCACCTACGTTCTGCTGTCTTAATATTTTGGATCGATTTGCCTGCACTGAAACATAAAAGTAGATAGTTTGTATTCACTGTTGTGCTTAGTTAGCTCTTTGAAATGATTTCAGATGAGGGATGGTCTCAAAATGCTTTAGAAGTGCCATTTTTAATGCCTTCACAGTAGTCAGTGCTGAAGAACCAGATTTGCTCTGCCTCGCCCTTTGCCTGAGAAGAACAAGGCAAGTCAGATGTGGGGTTTGGGTTCTGTAAGCTTGCCCTCGGTGTGGGCTGACAGATCTCGTCCCCTGGACCCACACAGGAGGCCGTTTGACATAATCTGGCGGTTTAAAAAAAACATTTTTCTTTTTCCCAGTGCAAAGGCAGTTTTATTCAGAGCAGACGGAGGCTCGGGGATGCTGGAAGTCTGCCGGGCTCAAAGGCAACCTGTGGAGTTTTGTCAGGATCCTGACCGGGGTGAAAAACTAGTTTGTCTTTTCCCATGTGGCGCGATTCTTCTGCTCCGGTTAGCTGTCAGGTCTCCTGAGCGTTTGCTTTAGCTGGCTCAACAATGGGAGGGCAGTGCTGCGGGGGAGAAAACCCAAGTGTTCCCTCTCCGTCGGCTGGCTGTTGCCGAAGCACCTCGCCCGCTCCTCCGTGGCTCCAGCAGCCCGCCGGGCAGGGGAGCGGGTTTCGGTGCTGCGGGACTTGCCCACTGTGCCATCCGTTTGTCTCTGGCGTTGGGATTTACGCTTTACGAGGCGTTAAAGAAGCGGTGGGGAATGGAAGACCCCGAGTGATGTGAAGGGTAGCAGCGACCGACGCTGCAGGCCTTGGTGTGTGTCTGAGGGTATTGAGCTGGTGACACAGCGTCTCTGCCCGTTGCAAAGCTGCGCTCCCTCGAGGCAGGGACGGAAAGGGGCTAGTTAGAAGCAGGCTGTTACTGCAGAGCCTTTTTTCCCCTCCCTTCCCTCCCCCTCCCCAGTCACAACCTTTCAGAAATACTTTAGGTTCGAGGCTTGAGCTGGGGAAGCTTTTGCCTCCCTCCCTCAAGCTTTTGTACATGTTCAGATTTGATGTGACATCTGGGCATGGTGGAGAGGAAGTGGGGGGTAGGGAGAAACACTGGAGAAGTCTCTTATCCTGCTTGTGCATAATTAAGGAGCATGCCTCCTGGGAAAGGGGAATAAAGGCACCCCAGGTCCTGCCACGAATTACATGACTTACTGCTGGACCGAAAGCGGGCTTGACAGTTGCCAGAAGGTTGGCGCGGTAATAGCCCACCTACCGTCGGCTCTTCTCCCATCGCTCCCAACGTGACGCCCCGCTGAGAGGAT